CCCCAAAACCCCAAAACCCCCAAAACCCCAAAACCCCAAAACCCCAAAACCCCGAGAATAATAATTCAAATTGAAATTAGGGAAGAAAGAGTCACCACGCTTGTATGCCAAGATAATATATCCTAGTCTTTTATCTGATCATCCCCGAATCTAAGAAGTTGCTCAAAGACGCTTTCCTGAGCTCTTCTGAGGAGGATTATATCCTCTGCATAAAGGTATTGATCATCTTGGGTAAATATTTTACTCTGATAAGCTTCTTCTAATATTTTGGGCTCGTACAGGTCCTGTAAGTTAGTCCGACAGGTAGGTCACTCTTGTTTGAACTGTATCCATTCCTTGAGACATGAATAATGGAAAAGATGTGTTTTTCCTCAGAGTAGCTGGAGAACTTTTTCGTCTTCCCTAATATCATCCTGGCATATTGATCAAGCTATTTCTTGATAAATTATCTGTTTAGGCTGTGTTTTTGGAGAGAAATTGCAAAGATTCTTTTCCATGATCCTCCTTTTAATAGGATCAAAGTTATGAAAGGTCTTAGACGAGTCTTTACTATAAATACAATAATGTTACTATTCTCAGTCTTCCTCTTTTCGTGCCTACTGTCCTGTGCTAGCTTTCCATGAATTGCTGGCTTCCGTGTGTGTTTCCCAATTCTCTTATCCTCTGGAGTAAATTCCTTCATATTTAAAAAAGATACTTACCTTAGACTCCTCATCTTTAAAATCCTTCTTAATATCAATCCAAAATTTGTGCCGGTCAGCATCATATGGGTAAATAGTAGTTACAGAAATATCTGGGGAGCCGACACTGGAAGCGTCGTCTTCCAAGAGGTTTAGTTCGCTATCTTTCCTATCCCTCTCATATGGGATAAGACCAATCTGTTCTGAATTACAATTTTTGGTCTTTTGTTCTTCTCAAATTCATTCTTTGCCAAAAGGATTTTTAGATGTAAAAGACTTTATGTCTTTTACATCTGAAATATCTTTGAAGTTGGCACTCTGAAACCTTATGAAGTTTTTAGTGGCTATGAATAGCAAGACCTGTTCCCAGCTTCTTCCACTTCTGAAGAACAGCAGCTGCTCAAGATCTTCCTTGAAGTTGCTCAGAGGCGCCCGCCTCTGATTCATACTTTGACGAAGGGTAGGACAGCAGCAAGCCACAACGTAGATTAAAGCGGCAATTGGGATGACGAAGATTAGAGCCAAAGCAATTAGCACTTCCATGATAAAAATGTCAAAACAAAGTCAAATAGAGGAGGAGAATACATAAACAGAGAGATAGATTAAAGTCTTGTCGTCATCATAGCTTTTCTTGAGGTTAGATTTTATAGAAATTCCATAGATTATGCTGAATAGAAGCATCCCTATCATGTGGCCAAAATGCCACAAAATTGAATACTTCCCAATTAGTTTATACAGTCTTCTGCATAGAAGAAGTCTCCAAATTTTATTTAGGAAGTATCCTTCTGATTAGCCTTCTGATCAAGTTTGGATGGCTGTTCACAGGTCGTGTGATGTATACAATATATGAGAAACAATGCATGATTCAACTCAGGACTGCCCACACCAAAAATATACCTGGCTCTCTGATATACTTCAGAAGATAAAAGATGCCTATATGAAACTTGGTAAGATTTCTGTCAGAAAGCCAAAGAGAGAGTTTATTTCCTTACTTATCATCGGATTTGACACTCAAAGAGAGATGTATAGTGTCGAGTGGATGTACTCGATCACTATGACTCCAGTCGTAATAAAAACACAATCTAACGGCATTGAGGCTAGAAGAGAAATTAACCAGTGGTTATTTTGAATTTAACAAAGCTTGAGGTTTATACTTTATCTGCCAACATGGGGTTTTGGGGTTTTGGGGTTTTGGGGTTTTGGGG